GGTGGGACCGGAACCGCTCGCGGCCCCATCGCGGAGGTTGAGCCAGCACCACCGGCTGGTCCAAGTCCAGATGAGCATTCTTCACCCGGTCCACCGAGACGTGCTCGGCCTTACCACCCAGGTCCACCACCAAGTGCTTGCCCCCGTGTTCCAAGACTCTGAAAGGCCCGTCGTAAGGGGGCTGCAGGGGGGCCTCTGTGAGCGTCGTGCCGGATGAACATGTGCTCCGTTGAGCGAAGCCCCACGGGAACCCGGGACACCGGAGTGCCGTGCTGAGCACTGGGGATCGGAGCAAAGGCCTTAGCTGCGTCCTGCAGGAAAGCGCGCTTGGTGGTCGCCGACCAGGGGGTCGATGTGTTGGGGAGATAATCCCCTGGAACCTGCAGCGGCTGGCCGTAGACCATCTCAGCCGTGGAGCACTGCAGATTCTCCTAAGGTGCGGTCCTAATGCCCAGCATAGCCCAAGGCAGCTTGTCGATCCAATTACCGTCTGTTAGGCTTGCCCTGAGGACCGCCTTCATGGAGCGATGGAAACGAGGCAGTTGGCCTGAGGCTGATAAGCGGTTGTCCGGTGGAGCTTAACCCCCATTTCCCTGGCCACGGCGTTTCATAGCTCGGACGTGAACTGCGAACCACGGTCTGAGGAAATGTCCGATGGGGTGCCGAAATGACACACCCATGTTGCAATGAAGGCCCTGGCTATGTCAGCCGCCGCTGTCGAAGCGAGTGGGATCGCCTCCGGCCAGTGGGTCGTCCTGTCCACCATAGTTAGGAGGTAGGTGAAAGCATGAGAGGAGGGTAATGGGCCAACCAGATCGATGTTGACGTGGTCAAACCTCCTCTCAGACACGAGGAATTGTTCCAGGGGGGCCTTCGTGTGGCGGTGCACCTTAGCACGCTGGCAAGCCACGCACGTGCCAGCCGATGTCCTCACGGCCTTCTTGAGCCCCCGGCAGAATAACTTCGTGGCCACCATCCGCACCGAAGGTTTCCCGGTGGGGTTCGACAGGTTGTGCACCGCCTCGAACACGGAGCGCATCCAGCTGGCGGGAACGACTGGACAGCGTCACACAGGAGAGTAACGAAATCCATATCCTCCAGACACAGTCCCACGTCAGCCCCCTTCAGGGCCTGGGTGCTGAGGTCCGTGACCTGGTCCGCTGCCATGCGGGTATAGTCGATTCCCAACTGGACGGCCCCGATGATGACCCTGGAGAGGCAGTCTGCGACCAGGTTGGACTTGCCAGCCACGTGCTGGATGTCCGTGGTCAACTCCGAGATGTAGGAAAGCGGCTAAAAAGAAGAGTGGCGCCCTCAACCCACTGCTTATGCACTGCACCAACGGCGTAGTCCGATGCGTCGGTGGTCATGGAGATGGGGGCAGTGGGTGACGGATGCGCCAACAGCGGCATGCTCCCAAAACTCCAGCAGTTTAATATGGAACTCCACACTTTACTTTCCAATCAACCACACACACAAGAACGTACTAGCTGCATGCTACTGCAAATCAGGAATGACAACAACAGGAAACCGGAACATTAAGGTGCCGTCCACTAACTGGTCCGTGGGGCAACACTATATCGTGTTCCCCACCCACAACAATACAACTATGAATGGTGTCCCTTAATGCTCCGCCATAGTGTATATCTAAAGTGCAGTTTGTATATAGAGCTGCGGGAGTCACTGAGTTGATGTTAATGCTAGCTTCCTGCTGACTCAGCATGTGTTGGTGACTCTGCAGAGCGAAGACTCGGCGCCCCCGGTGGTGAGGCGTCACTCCTCCTCAGATATCTCGCGGCAGAAGTTCGGCACGATGCCGCTCGTCCCGATCCGAGGACACGAGAGCAACAGCAGCATGCTGTCGGCCAATCAGACGCTGGTAAGAGCTTGCACCATCTTTAATATTCCCAAACTTCACAGGGAGAGTTAAAAAACAACGGTGTATCTTTTGACAGTGAAATAATAAGAAGAGTTATTTAGAATAATTCACTTTTTATATCTTCTTCTTTCTGCAGAGGAAGCTACACGACAGACGGACGCTCTCCATGTACTTTGTGAGTATTTTACATTCAGGGAGTATTTCCTGTGGAGGAAAATAAATGCGGCATTATTGGTGCATATGTTGTTATACTGTACATATACTGTATATATACTATAGTATATATACAGTACACATACTGTATATATACTGTATATGTACAGTATATATACAGTACACATACTGTATATATACAGTATGTGTACTGTATATATACTGTAGTATATGTACAGTATATATACAGTACACATACTGTATATATACAGTATGTGTACTGTATATATACAGTATATAGTATGTGTACTGTATATATACTGTATATGTACTGTATATATACAGTATGTGTACTGTATATATACAGTATATATACAGTATATATACTGTATATGTATTCATATTTATGATAACATTTCTCGGCTGATTTTGATACATTTGGGCTGGATGTGGAAGACTTGGGGACTCTGGATCATCGGGGTTGGACAGACTGCCTCTCTCTAAACCAGGTGTCCCCAGTAGAGGTAATAATGTCCATCTGCTGCTCTCTGTGTCCACTGGTCTCAGCACTGCTCAGTCCACATGGGGGCACATCTGTCCTCTGTCTGGTTAGAACTGACTTGCTTGATCCTGAGACGTCAGAAATGGATTCAGGATCCTCAGTAACTTCCAGCACCGCTCCAGAACTGTCCAAAGCAAGTCCCCATAGACTATAATGCCATCCCCAGTGAATGCCTTCTCTGTGTGTCCCTGTTTCCCTGCAGCCCATGAAGGTGCAGCAGGATGCGTTTGAGGAGCGTCTGGAGTCCCCGCCGCTCCCCGAGCCTCTGTACGAGGAGGTGGGGGACTTCGGCCTGCAGGTGCTCCAGTCTCTGCAGACCAGCTTCCTGTCGGGGGGGGCCTCCGAGACACAGGAGGTGCCCGACCCCCCCCCGCTCAGACTGCTTCCCGAGGACCCCCCCTCTGAGGACCCCCCCTCTGAGGACCCCCAATCTGAGGACCCCCTGCAGAGCGGAGGCTGCACCCTGTCTCAGGAGCTGCTGCTGAAGGAGCTTTCCTCCGCCTTCATCAAGAAAACCAGGGAGAAGGAGGAGGAGGAGGAGGAGGAGGAGGAGGAGGAGGAGGAGGAGGAGGAGGAGGAGGAGAGGCCGTATGATGTGTGAGAGGACGAGCTTCCATCACAGCTCAGAGTGTTACGGTTGGGTCACACCGGGCGTGAGAGTGAAGCTGCCGCACAGAGGGACAGATATCCAGGTTTAAACCAAAGATGTTATTTAATGAAGAGTTAAAGCTTTATCAGAACCTGTTTCCAGCTGGAAGGACAGAGGACCAAAACTACAGACATCTGACCCCGGATAACACAAGAGACCAGACTCCTATAGGGAAGAAGGGGAGGGGGGGCAGCCAATCAGAGCGGGACTACAGGGAATGGTAGACAGAGGGGGAATTACAAACATCTGGATGATCATTTCCTGACAGAGAGGCCTTCTGTTGAATGCTAGAGAACAGAAGGAGCTGTTCAATAGAGGAGTGGAGAAGCCTCAAGCCACAGGAGCCCACTCAAAGACCCTCAAAGACCCTTAAAGGACCCTTAAAGGACCCTTAAAGGACTCTTAAAGGACACTATTATACTCTTTCTCATCAATATATCACAGGTCTCAGATATATGCAGAGCCTGTCTCTGATTGGCTGAAACACCAAACAGATCATTGCAGCATTACCCATAATCCCCTCTGTTTCAACCCTGTTTCCAAAGTGCTGATTCTCCGTCTGTTACTTTAGATGCTAATGAGCTGCTGCTGGCCACGCCCCTCTGAGAGATGATTGTTTGTTTTTTTTAAAACACAGTGGAGCTCTAGGAGGAGATTCAGGTGATAGGGGGGGGGGGGGTTACCTTGTTTGCTGATTGGCTAATGGTTACACAAGCAAAGAAACATTGTGACATCAATAAGTGGCCATTATCACGTTGTATTATCTCTGCCTTCTTTCAGAGCAAACAGCTCAGTGTCGTCTTTAACGGCCACATATTGTATTTTCCCCTGAGCATAAATATATAGATATACATGTATATATAATGTACTGTAAGGAGCGTCTCTGCACAATTACACTGCTAGCACCCAACCCACTTCTACGCTCTCCTGTTGAAATATGGAGCCTACATTACCCACAATGCACCCCCTGTTAGGAGTTAGAAACCTGTTGTTCGGCTGCCGCTATCGTTAGCTGATAACTGTTGGACATGAGGAGTTTGTGCAGTTTGGTGGACCTAAGATAAAGGGGCTGCAAGCTAAAGGCTAACGTTAGCGTCTCTGATAGCTTCGAGAACAATTATTTACAGATGGCTCCTTTTCTCCAAAACGACTGGAAATGGAGATTATTAAAGCAGTTTCATGTTAAAATCAGGGTTTCCCCAGTGGCCTGTGGACAGAAGGGCTAGCTGCTAAATGCTACCGTTAGCTCAGCTTGTGTCTTCAGATCCAGACGTCCGTCACAAATCCTTCAGCAGTTAAAACACAGAGCCAACATTCTGAAAGAAGAAGCATTATTCTTGTTTTATTTCTCTGCTCTTGTTGTGGGCGTTTAACATGTTGCTAAGGACAACAGTTGAAAAGTAGCCTGCTGGCTAACACTGGTCACTTACAGCAATGTGGATTCATGTGCACTGTCCTTTAAATAAAGACACAAGTACAACAAAAGTAAAAGAAGACGTTCCTCTCCTGATCGTTCTGCAAAGCTTCATGAAGGATGATAATAAAACATGTTCCTGTTTCATCACCGGCTGTGTGTGTGTGTGTGTGTGTGTGTGTGTGTGTGTGTGTGTGTGTCTTCCTTTTATTCACAGCTGCCAAAAATGTCCCATAAAGATGTGTACAACATTATAACTTTAGATGAGGCTGATGATACACATGGTGGTTCTGAGTCTCAGAGTTCTGTTGGGTTCGGAATTCCAGAAAAGACAGACAACTTCGAAGTTTAACTATTTATTGTAAAGAGAGCAAAAGAGATATCACTTGGCCAAGGGCTCATCAAGTCTCTGGGAATCACAGGCAGCAAAGCTGTAATCTGTAACCACCAAATCCGTCAAGACTAGAGCCTCGAACCTCGTGCGACAATACATGTTATCACACAGGGCGTTGCCCGTACATTTTTGATTGGTCAAGACTAGCTGAAGAGATACCGCGGTTTAGACTTGGTTCTCTTTGGTTGGCAGACTCAGAGTCTCTTGGCAACACGATCCTCCAATCAGCATGCGGCCGGCCTGTGGAAGTCCCTCCCTACTCTGGCACCATCATACTCATTAGTTTTGATGAAGCTTCTACAGAGAAGTGGAATCTTGGTCATACTGACTCCCAGCTGGGGGCGGAGCTAACCCAGGCGGCCAAGGCCATAGCCTCAGTAACTCATTGTTTCTACAGTGCCTGCTTCTGGCTTCTGCTACAACCTATTGCAAGCTGAACTTTCTTCTGACTATTCCCCTGGCTGGTATCTAACACTTCAGAACCTGGGACTAGTGATTGAGTCTATTTATTCTATAGTCATAGCAATCTCATGAGCACAATAAGCACAATGTAATGATAAGAATCAGTCTTGTAATGTTATATAAAGATAGACTCCACAGTTCTGTTCAGAGAACAATCCTCTCCTGGCTCTCCAACATTATCTCATGAATACATCTTGGACTGGGATCCATGGTTTCACATTCATCCCTGACACATTCAATTCAACAGGTCAGAACATGAGACTCCAGAACTCCATTTGAATAAGTTCACTGTAGATTTAAAAGGTTACAACACACCAATCTGGTCTGCAGAGAGTCCTCCGGTACATCCTGACTCCAGATGAAAGGACACATGATGGTATCTGTCCCAGTTCAACCCAGTCTCGCGGCATGTCGGGTTATAGTCAGGTGATCCGATCTCTTGATTCCAGTTCACCATCTTACTTTTTTTAACGAATGAGAACCATTTTAAAAACAACGTATTTCTATTGGTTTTATTGAATAATTGTTGCCGTCGGTGAGGAAGAGAAATACTGGAATCTAGTCTGTGATTCTTTTCTAAACCTCACCCTGTGATGAACTCAACAATAAGACACAATCATCCATGTTTTATGTGTTTGATTATATCATCTCTATCTTCAGGACCGAGAGTCGGAGCGCACCGGAAACTGGATTTATTTACCGGTTTCTTTTCATTTCAAAATAAAGTGAATATTAAAAATATGTTTAATTATTTTCTTTATTACCTCGACCACTGAGTCATGCTAAGACTGTCTCTGTGTTGCTTGGTGTTACACATATCAAACAGTCCACAGTAATAAGCCTTATTGATTATCAACAGGATTACGTTGCCAGGCAACAGCTGCGGTTCATTCACAAACTCTGCAACAAGAACACTACTTTTATTTTAGAAAGCCTGACAAAATACTTTAATGATGATTCAAATGTAAAGAGTTAGTATATGTAATATAAGTAATGTGTGTACAGCCAAATACATCCGTCATGATCAATCAGGCAAACAGGAGTATATGTATGTGTTAACTCTAAGCTGGACAGTTTTGACTTTGCCACACTTGGAGCGTCTCTGCGATACGGCCTGAACAGGGAGGCTGAGTGGCCGATCTCTGCTGCAAGCTTTGCGGAATATGTCATATTTGATGCTTTTTGAAGACGCAAGGATTATATTTGAAACACACTGATTTATATTGGTGAATATTAAGAAGGGTTATATAGAACTGACAGTGACTGCTGCCCTCTAGTGCTCAGAGGGATCATGACAGTATGGCAGTGACTGGTGTTCATTATGATCACTCAGAATCAGCTTCATTAACACACTATGTGAACATAAAGGAAGTCTGTATTTCTCAAGCTGAACGAAGCAAAGCGGGAACATTCATACATCTGGAGAAACAGCAAGACATTTGGAGACAGAGACACAGACGCTGTCTACAAACCAGAGTCGCTCTGAATCTGAAGCTTTGCTTTCTCTGTGGTCTGGTTTCAAAGAGCACAGGTAACGTTTCTGCTGAGGGGCGTACGAAGGAAAGGCTCTCAGCTGAGAGTGATGCTGAGGGGGGGGGGGGGGGGTATCACTGCTGCAGAGCACACAGAGACACCGAGGCACCAGACCAAGACCAGAACTCAAACCGAAACCCGAAGCCAGCATAGAGAGGTTCAGTGAATGTGGGTTAGGTGTGGAGGTGGATCAGTGAGCCAGAGGAGACTCTGTAGAAGGAGAGAGAGCCAGCAGGACGATCCAGATACACTGCTACTCTACCAGAGGGGAGGTAGGGAGAAAGTATATAGGTGGATACATGGTAGAGGAGGGAGGAGGAGGAGATGACTGTTTCTCTCTCATTGTGCCAGACAGAGTAACCTTTAGGAGAGCACTCCAGACTCCAGGACTGATCATTCCTTCCAAACCAACAGTCCTCTCTCTCTCCTCTCCTCTTGATCCCTCTGTAAGTCACTGATATATGAACCTCTCCTCTCCACTCGACCTCCCAGTAACAGCGATCGGTCAGAGCTTCTGTGCACATCAGCTGAGGCCAGGAGTCAAACCTCTCTGGATGATCAGGATATTGCTGATTCTCCATCACATCTGTCACCTTCCTGCTGTAGTCAGACAGTTTGAGTTCTCTGTGTGCTGTGTTTGAGTCCAGGGTGAGTCCACAGGAATCTGATGAGAGACACAGCAGGTATCAAAGGTTATTAAAGTCCTGATGTCTCAGTGTGAAGATGTTCATGATGAAAAACACACTCACACTTCCTGACGCCTGGCCTCAAGAACCAAACTGCAGCAGGCTCCAGGCTGAAAGCAGGGGGGGGGGGGTCAGTTAGTCTTTGAATGTGTCATACGTCCACAAACTGCGCCCCCCCCCCCCCATCACATCACATCACTCCTGTTCCAGCTCAACATTCAGTATTTGAATCACTTATACAGTAGACACTCCACCCCCCCCACACATTACATCTACAAACACTGAGGTGGAACGCATCATATATATATATTTTGAACGTCATCATTTCAGTTGCGCTGACAGGCGACAGAGGGCGACAGCTGATGCAGTTGTGTGTTTCTTATCTGTCAAATAAGCACACACGAAGAAGAAAGAAGACGAGATCAAAACATTGATGTATAAAGAGGCGGTGAGTACTATAGAGAAGAAGTTCATTCAAGAAGCGTCCTTTCAACCTAGTTGTTCCAGTTAGTGTGTGCTGCTCAGGTAAGCAAACAATAAATACAACAATTGTTACATGAGAGGTGTAATGTCTAATGAAAACTTGTAGATCAAACAAAAGTGTATTACTTGTGTATTAAGTATTAATTCAAGTAGTATTATAAAAAACAATGATATTACATCACATGTCACTTGTTAGACGCTTTTATCCAAAGCGACTAACATACATTCAGTACTGTGGACAATCCCCACAGGAGCGCAGGAGCGCAGGAGCACAGGAGCACAGGTGCCATAGGTCCATTTTATATTTGTTAAGGTTGCGGCTAGAACCAGGACAGATGTTGACACCCACTGCCAGACAGTTACATTCCCCTTTAAACTACATATGCACGCCCTATTCATCATCTGATCTATAATAACTAATACTACTATATGTTTTTGTGTGTACTTTTGGGTCACCATTTCCTGATGTTACCACATGGTCAAGGCATCTGAGGAGTGTCCTCCCTCGCTCTGTAAGTTGAACTTGTATACTGTGCGGTAAACACATCGTCTAATCAACATCACTAATATTGTCATATCTTCGATAAAATTATAAATTAAGATTAAGGCGTTGTGACACTGCTGCCTCCGGCATTGCGTTTCGATGCCAATTGTTGTGGACTGGGTCTGAGTCCAGGGCTGCCCCTGGGGACATGCAGCTCCATGCTCCCTGAGTGCAGCGTTTGGGTGCATCAGTAAATACGGGTTCTCTTTGGTTCACTGTGCGCTTCATTTTTATCTTTTGGTCTTGATTTCTGATTCCTGAATTGTTTTTATACTTTTCAGTTTTTTTGTTGTTTCATTCTGAATTTAAAGCTGAACGGGGTGGGGGGGGGGGGGGGGAGTTTATCAACAAACTGATAAAGACTCTTCTGATTGGCCGTTTGCTAAGACTCAATAAAACCATCTGGAAATGAATCAGTTTATTTATTCATGATGTCACTTCTTCTGCTAAATCTGTGTGAACACTAGACCCCCCCACTCTGTTCCTGTTGGACGTTCCACGATGAACATTGACCACTGAGGGGGGGTTTCCTCTCAGTGGTGGAACATTTGTGTTTGATGCTAGCAGCTGACGGCAGACAGTGTGAAGAGTCAGGGTCTATCAGCTCTGGATGTTTCAGGTCATAGCAGCCCGTTTATACCTCCTCTATCAGACTGAGTGCCTCTCCATACCTGAGCGTGTCCAGTCCAGCAGACAGCAGCCTCCCCCCTGAGGCTCCTGGATGATTGTAGCTCAGGTCCAGCTCTCTCAGATGGGAGGGGTTTAAAGCTGAGGCCAGAGCATCACCGCCTTCCTCTGTGACCAGACAGCCTGACAGCCTGCAGACACACAAACAAGCCGTCAGATCATCTGAGGGTCCAGGACTGGAAGGGGGTGGGGCTTATTTCTGCATCCCCTCTGGGTCATCTCTACACCTAAAACTCCAGACAGCCATGGTAAGGGTCTTATTGATATGAACAGATCATAAAACAAGGGAATAGAGAATAATGTGAACAAAGACACAGAGAGAAGACTACAAGAAGATCTGCAGCCGACACTCTACTACAGTTTGGACATCAGACCTCCAACACCACCAGAACACCAAATCTTTGAATCTTGAATCGATGATGGCATTCCCACAGCACAGCAGCATGGCTGATGGTGGTATTGACTTGTATGGCTGGCTAAGTCAAACTGTTCTGGTCTCTGACCTGAGAGTCTTCAGTTCACATAGTGGACTCTGCAGTCCAGCAGACAGCAGCTTCACTCCTGAATCCTGCAGGTCGTTGTTACTCAGGTCCAGCTCTCTCAGACTAGAGGACTGGGAGCTGAGGACTGAGGACAGAGCTGCACAGCTTCTCTCTGACAGCTTGCAGCCACTCAGCCTGAAGAGACCAGAGTGAACAAAAAGAGAGACAACATTTGTGTTTAAAATCAATCACTCTGGATAAGAAATGAGATGGAGGTGAAAAATTATTTTGAACAGAACATAAAACATAATCTGAAGAAAATACTTCCAATATTTTTGCAGACGGACACAATATAATGTGTAGAACAGAGGCACTGATTGTAGGATGTGGTTTCATAACTAGAGAATGCAATTCCTGAAGAAATTGCTAGTGGGAATGCTTCATGCTGAACATCTGACGCTAAACTGCTATGCTGAAATGTAAAGTGTAAGAAGAAAGTAAAGACTTTAGATTGAAATGACACATGAGCACTGGGGGCTTGAATGTGTGATGAGAAGAAAACAAGTGAAAAGGCTTGTAAAAGCAGCAGAATATTTGAACTACAAACTTTTGAACTAACTTGATGGCGAATGATCTGTCGCCCCGGCAACGGTATTTGATGACACCCCATAATACGCGTAGATGCGTTGATGGCTGCATCGTTACCAAACCTGTGAAGTTCTGGGCTGTTTGGAGCATTTTCACTGAAGTTATGAGAAAGCCGTGTTTCATGGCGAGCCTTGTGTTGCCATGGCAACGGCATTTGAAGAACTCTCCAAACTGTCACGTAGATGTCGTCACGGCTGGACTGTTAGCACACGTGAAGTTTAAGCACTTTTTGACGATTTTCATAGGAGTTATAGCAATATCGTGTTTGACGGCGAGGGATGCGTTGCCATGGCAACAGCTTTTGAGGAAAACTCGCTAATGGCACATAGACATATTGAAGGCTGGACCATTGGCCATCATCTGAAGTCTGGTGCTGTTTTAGACCATTTGCATAGGTATCACAACAATATCGTGTTTTATGGCGAGGGATGCGTTTCCATGGAAACGGCACATGGTGGGATCTCAGATTTGGCGAGACCTGTATTATTCTTAAAGTATGATTGAGACCTGTATTATACTTAATGTATGATTGAGACCTGTATTATACTTAAAGTATGATTGAGACCTGTATTATTCTTAATGTATGATTGAGACCTGTATTATACTTAATGTATGATTGAGACCTGTATTATACTTAAAGTATGATTGAGACCTGTATTATACTTAAAGTATGATTGAGACCTGTATTATACTTAATGTATGATTGAGACCTGTATTATACTTAAAGTATGATTGAGACCTGTATTATACTTAATGTATGATTGAGACCTGTATTATACTTAATGTATGATTGAGACCTGTATTATACTTAATGTATGATTGAGACCTGTATTATACTTAAAGTATGATTGAGACCTGTATTATACTTAATGTATGATTGAGACCTGTATTATACTTAATGTATGATTGAGACCTGTATTATACTTAATGTATGATTGAGACCTGTATTATACTTAATGTATGATTGAGACCTGTATTATACTTAAAGTATGATTGAGAGCTGTATTATACTTAAAGTATGATTGAGACCTGTATTATACTTAATGTATGATTGAGACCTGTATTATACTTAATGTATGATTGAGACCTGTATTATACTTAAAGTATGATTGAGACCTGTATTATACTTAAAGTATGATTGAGACCTGTATTATACTTAATGTATGATTGAGACCTGTATTATACTTAAAGTATGATTCAGACCTGTATTATACTTAATGTATGATTGAGACCTGTATTATACTTAAAGTATGATTGAGACCTGTATTATACTTAAAGTATGATTGAGACCTGTATTATACTTAAAGTATGATTGAGACCTGTATTATACTTAAAGTATGATTGAGACCTGTATTATACTTAAAGTATGATTGAGACCTGTATTATACTTAAAGTATGATTGAGACCTGTATTATACTTAAAGTATGATTGAGACCTGTATTATACTTAATGTATGATTGAGACCTGTATTATACTTAATGTATGATTGAGACCTGTATTATACTTAATGTATGATTGAGACCTGTATTATACTTAAAGTATGATTGAGACCTGTATTATACTTAAAGTATGATTGAGACCTGTATTATACTTAATGTATGATTGAGACCTGTATTATACTTAATGTATGATTGAGACCTGTATTATACTTAAAGTATGATTGAGACCTGTATTATACTTAATGTATGATTGAGACCTGTATTATACTTAAAGTATGATTGAGACCTGTATTATACTTAATGTATGATTGAGACCTGTATTATACTTAAAGTATGATTGAGACCTGTATTATACTTAAAGTATGATTGAGACCTGTATTATACTTAAAGTATGATTGAGACCTGTATTATACTTAAAGTATGATTGAGACCTGTATTATACTTAAAGTATGATTGAGACCTGTATTATACTTAAAGTATGATTGAGACCTGTATTATACTTAATGTATGATTGAGACCTGTATTATACTTAAAGTATGATTGAGACCTGTATTATACTTAAAGTATGATTGAGACCTGTATTATACTTAATGTATGATTGAGACCTGTATTATACTTAATGTATGATTCAGACCTGTATTATACTTAAAGTATGATTGAGACCTGTATTATACTTAAAGTATGATTGAGACCTGTATTATACTTAAAGTATGATTGAGACCTGTATTATACTTAATGTATGATTGAGACCTGTATTATACTTAAAGTATGATTGAGACCTGTATTATACTTAAAGTATGATTGAGACCTGTATTATACTTAAAGTATGATTGAGACCTGTATTATACTTAATGTATGATTGAGACCTGTATTATACTTAAGTATGATTGAGACCTGTATTATACTTAATGTATGATTGAGACCTGTATTATACTAAGTATGTATGATTGAGACCTGTATTATACTTAATGTATGATTGAGACCTGTATTATACTTAATGTATGATTGAGACCTGTATTATACTTAAAGTATGATTGAGACCTGTATTATACTTAAAGTATGATTGAGACCTGTATTATACTTAATGTATGATTGAGACCTGTATTATACTTAAAGTATGATTGAGACCTGTATTATACTTAAAGTATGATTGAGACCTGTATTATACTTAAAGTATGATTGAGACCTGTATTATACTTAATGTATGATTGAGACCTGTATTATACTTAAAGTATGATTGAGACCTGTATTATACTTAAAGTATGATTGAGACCTGTATTATACTTAATGTATGATTGAGACCTGTATTATACTTAAAGTATGATTGAGACCTGTATTATACTTAAAGTATGATTGAGACCTGTATTATACTTAATGTATGATTGAGACCTGTATTATACTTAATGTATGATTGAGACCTGTATTATACTTAATGTATGATTGAGAACTGTATTATACTTAAAGTATGATTGAGACCTGTATTATACTTAATGTATGATTGAGACCTGTATTATACTTAATGTATGATTGAGAACTGTATTATACTTAAAGTATGATTGAGACCTGTATTATACTTAATGTATGATTGAGACCTGTATTATACTTAAAGTATGATTGAGACCTGTATTATACTTAAAGTATGATTGAGACCTGTATTATACTTAATGTATGATTGAGACCTGTATTATACTTAAAGTATGATTGAGACCTGTATTATACTTAATGTATGATTGAGACCTGTATTATACTTAATGTATGATTGAGACCTGTATTATACTTAAAGTATGATTGAGACCTGTATTATACTTAAAGTATGATTGAGACCTGTATTATACTTAATGTATGATTGAGACCTGTATTATACTTAAGTATGATTGAGACCTGTATTATACTTAAAGTATGATTGAGACCTGTATTATACTTAAAGTATGATTGAGACCTGTATTATACTTAAAGTATGATTGAGACCTGTATTATACTTAAAGTATGATTGAGACCTGTATTATACTTAAAGTATGATTGAGACCTGTATTATACTTAATGTATGATTGAGACCTGTATTATACTTAATGTATGATTGAGACCTGTATTATACTTAATGTATGATTGAGACCTGTATTATACTTAATGTATGATTGAGACCTGTATTATACTTAAAGTATGATTCAGACCTGTATTATACTTAAAGTATGATTGAGACCTGTATTATACTTAATGTATGATTGAGACCTGTATTATACTTAAAGTATGATTGAGACCTGTATTATACTTAAAGTATGATTGAGACCTGTATTTATACTTAATGTATGATTGAGACCTGATATACTTAAAGGTATGATTGAGACCTGTATTATACTTAAGTATGATTGAGACCTGTATTATACTTAAAGTATGATTGAGACCTGTATTATACTTAAGTATGATTGAGACCTGTATTATACTTAAGTATGATTGAGACCTGTATTATACTTAAAGTATGATTGAGACCTGTATTATACTTAAGTATGATTGAGACCTGTATTATACTTAAAGTATGATTGAGACCTGTATTATACTTAAAGTATGATTGAGACCTGTATTATACTTAAAGTATGATTGAGACCTGTATTATACTTAATGTATGATTGAGACCTGTATTATACTTAATGTATGATTGAGACCTGTATTATACTTAAAGTATGATTGAGACCTGTATTATACTTAAAGTATGATTGAGACCTGTATTATACTTAAAGTATGATTGAGACTGTATTATACTTAATGTATGATTGAGACCTGTATTATACTTAAAGTATGATTGAGACCTGTATTATACTTAATGTATGATTGAGACCTGTATTATACTTAAAGTATGATTGAGACCTGTATTATACTTAATGTATGATTGAGACCTGTATTATACTTAAAGTATGATTGAGACCTGTATTATACTTAAAGTATGATTGAGACCTGTATTATACTTAAAGTATGATTGAGACCTGTATTATACTTAATGTATGATTGAGACCTGTATTATACTTAAAGTATGATTGAGACCTGTATTATACTTAATGTATGATTGAGACCTGTATTATACTTAAAGTATGATTGAGACCTGTATTATACTTAATGTATGATTGAGACCTGTATTATACTTAAAGTATGATTGAGACCTGTAT